GCTGTAATAAAGGACTTTTAACTAAAAACTAAGTCCTTTATTTAATAATTTCAAATTTACAAGATACTTTTGTACGATGAATAAATATTTTATTGTGTTTGAATTACTTTTATGAGATTTTTATATACATTCGTCAAAGAAATACAAATTTCTTCAAGCATTTGAGAGAATACAATAATAACATTTAAGTCGGTGCAGACAGGTAAAATCGTGTGATGATTCATCCAGGCTTACACATTGATATAGGGCCTGGTTTCGGCCTACTGCGCTGCTTTTTTGTTTCTTCGAAACAGATCTAGATAAGCCTGAAATATTCATATTAAATAGGCCTAATCAGTTTCTTTAGTTTATTGATTCAAGAAATGCATTAGTTTTTTATACATAATAATGAATTTAAAGTTACTTACTTCGGCTTCTAATGTACAGTACCTTGTAATACGAATGTTATTTGTTCAACTACCACTTGTCAACAAACTATTGCTGATTGGTTGAGTGTCTAGACCTACCCTCTCTTTCCACAGGCCTACGTCGTACTGCTAGGTGTAAAAAACAACAGCCTAGAATATATCTCGGTACGCGATATGGCGATACATGCAAGTTGAATTGGCCTTTTGCACACGAACCGAAAAAAAATCAAACAAACCGTGCACTAATGAAACATTAGTGCACGGTTGGGAATAGGAAAAATAATATTTCGAGTTACAGTGAGAACGTCACGATAGACAACAATATTGTTGAAATCATAGTAAACTAAAAATAATTGTCATTTTTATTTTTTTGAACAGCCAAAATTGTGGAGAGAGAAACTGAGTGTAAGTCGACACACTTATTATTTTACATTGTTTAATTATAGTATGTATTAATGTATATAATGTAATTATTACCAAAGTGGTAATTTAATATGCATAAAGGCTTGAGTTTATGAGATAACACGTGTATTTGTAGGACACTCGTGAACGTATTCCTGGGCCTGATATGATTTTTCAGGTGTTCAATTGATTGGCACTCCCGAAGGTCCATTATCATTATATCTGATCAAGATAAATATACCGCTACAATGATACCCCCACCACTACGATTTTGCTGCTAACCAAGCAAACACAAAACGTTATGAACAGTTGTTAACGTTGTTGGTTACAAAAATAACTTTAAAGTTATGTTATAAATAGGCCTATTTAAATAGGTTATATAATATATCTCGCAAATCAGCGCACATAATTTATAATAATAATAATAATTATGAATGAAATATGATTAAATAGTATTCTTTTATTAAATTCTATGTCTTTCAGTTGATCGAGTTCGCCGTGGAATTTCTTCAAGTGAGTAATAGGGCTAATTTTAATAACTATTACCGGTAGCGATGATAGTACTAATGACGATGACAATAGTTATGACAGTATGAAAACGCTTAGCCTAACAGTAATATCGTAGTGTCTAGGCCTATTGCTTTTCAATTACTGATCTTTGTCATCGAGAAGCTTACCAAATGTGTACTATTATTGTACATGGTAATTGTGTTTTGCATGTATTATTTTACGGCGTTGAGGAATAATCATTGAGCATGTTCTTTTTATGTAAAGTTTTTCTTCCTCTCTACTGTTGTGTTTTCTATAACATTTAGGTGATCCTCCCATATTTAATTATTTTGTGATTTATTTTCCAAAAGAAATTAATTAAAAAAAATGTAACCACAATCTACGTTATATGTCAAAGGTTTGGACTTAAATTATAATAAGTCATTATATTCATGAAAAATAAAACACGATAGATATAATTGAAAGCAATGTCAGACATAACACTGTATTCTGTTATTGTTTTGTCTTAGATGCCAGACGAGTTGGTGAAATTGGGGAAAACAAAGTCGACTAATTATAAAACGTGGGTACAAAATGTTACGAGATCAAAGAAAATAAAATTTAATCAGGTTATACATACTTTTAATAAACAGGTTTTTTCATCACTATTTACTATAAAAATAAGGGTCATTTACATATTTTGAAAATAAATTAATGTCTTTGCTCAAACTAATAATGTGTATGTCACTTCAAAATTAGCAGAGCAAACAGGTGCAAAGTACCTCTACAAAAAGCCCAGATCTTATATGCAAATCATTTTTAAATGCTGATTTTCATTATTATTTTTGTTATTATTTTAACAGCTGATCTCTCAATCAGTGGCTGACAGAAAGACGACTTCTTTCATGTACTCAATCGCTTGCCTTGCCTCTCCGTTTATTACTTGGTTTAATTGAATTTGGAAGATAAATTTTATTACTAATCATATTAATAATTGTATTAATATATAATATAATATTAGTAATAAGAATAGTTATTAATAATATATAAACATAATGCTCAGAGCACAAAATGGCCTAACAACAAGAAATTACCACGTCTTAGATGCGATGCGGTATCATGTTGAAAACCCCATTCAAATTTCAATTCCTCAAAATAAGCTGTAAAAGAGCACTTTAAATGAGATGATATAATCAAGCAGCAGTGTTATAATAATTACAATAATTTTATAGTAACCACTTTGTGATTATGATTTTCTTATTTATTTATGTACCAAATACTTACTTGATACTTGATCTCTTGGTGGTTGTGATTAGAATTCGAAAGATCCGTACAATTGTTTGGATCGCTGAAAATTAATTTCCTACATTAATACTCAATAAAAGAAAGATTCCCTTTTTTATATCTATTGCAAATTGGCAAAAGAAATAAAAAATGGCTCACGCTAATCGTGACATAAGGACAAGAAGGAAGTGTAATAATTATAATAAAAGAAGAATGGGCCAGATTTAATCATAATGTTTTTATAATAATAGTTTTTTTTAAAGATATTAGTTTGTGAATATATATTTCTTTAAATCTAATGGTAAACTAATCTCCTTAAATCTAGCATTTTGTTCTGTACTAAAATAACCGCTTACCTGGTGTCATTAAAGAAGAAAAGCAATCAACGTGTCAATTGTTTCTTTTTGTTTTGGTTTTTTTTTTTTTGTGTCGGAGAAAATCAATGTTGTGTTCGAGTGACTCAAAATCTCAAAATTCTTGTTTCTATTAATTTAACAGTTCTCAAATTTAGATTCCTTTAATTGAAGTCATATATACCTCTGGGGTAAACACATACAGTACTGTACCCTTCTGACAAGGAAATGTTTTTTTCTAATTACAGACCAAATCTGCTAAAGACCAAAAGTATCTTTGATTGAACGGAATTTTACCTGTACTAAGGAGACCAAAATACGTGTATAATGTCTGAATACTCTTTCAAGCATAATTTGATACATTCATGTGATTCATTCTAGCTGTCCCCTTGCTTAGGAAACTCACCATTTTGTGGATTAATTGTTGTTTATAACAGACATCACCACTCTTGGTGTACTGTACTGCAAAGTGATTGTCATAACATAACAGCAGCAGCAGAAACATCTACAACAGTAATAGCAACAACATCAACTTCAGCAACGAAAACAACTACAAAGGAAACTTTAAATCTCTACATATAAAGAAATCTGTCGTTAGACCATTATTTGGGTATTGAAGTTGCCATTCACCCGGCTCTGTCCGTTGACTTACTGGAGATTTTAGTATATTCAGTTTGTCCATTGTTGCACACCTTCATCAAGGAATAACTAAACAAGCAGAAACAAGCATTTTAACAAATAAATTTAAGAATACATCATTACAATTACTTTCTAAATCTTTAAGAAACTTGACATTTTGAAGTTTGTCCTCGAACAAATTTCATATCGCTGCACCACTGTAAGTAAAAAATGATTTTGATTATATTTAGTTCAGAAAAGTCCATTCTATCGCATGTCTCGAAGATTTCTTTATTTTCAGCAAGTGCAATCATTTGAATCCTCTATGTGTAACTGGCTTGACCGAACACAGTCTAAAACTGCTCTCTTGGTGTCTTCGAGGGTTTTTTAAATATAACTGTACCTTGTGAGACAATTAGGTGTTATTTTTCTTTCTTTTTGGCTACATTTTAAAAAGCTACTAGTGGCAAACGATTGGGCAGATTTTATTCAAACTTATTCAGTAGAACCGGTGACATATCTCATACATGAGGTGTTCACAGCTTGGACGTGCCAAAGATCACATAGAGTCACCAAGGCTAGTTGGACTAACTCAAACCATAACCTTAAAATTTTAGGCCTATTTACAAACAAAAGGGAAAACGTTGATATTATTAGCACATATCCAACTCCTCAGTGTATGCATAATTTCAAATCTTGCATCTAGGCCTAAATGCGATATCTGTGTTAAACTAACCATCATCTAGGTGATCGTAGGTTTTAATATTTTTATTATATTATATAGTTTATTGGATTAACCTATGTTGTTGCTTGGGTGTGAGAGGGCCGAACTCATTGACTGTGTGATGGGGACGAAATCCATGCCACAACGGTGACCTATGCTCTGGTTATAACAAGTCAGAATCATTGCATAAATGAAGCATAGGACATCATTATTTATACTATTAGACTATGCAGTGAGTGGTCAGTACTTTTCTTTTAAGGGAGAAAAACACGAGTGGCATTTGAGATCCTATGGTCGAAGGGGACATACGAGGAAGCAGTGTGATGTTTCCTTCCAAGGGTGGCGCCACCGGCCAACCCCCCCCCCTCCCCCGTCGGGCAGTGCTGGCCCCACCTTCGGGGAGAATAAGCACAATTCGTCGAAACATTTTAATCTAAGCTCGACCACGCCCACATCGCTTTCGTCGGGGAAATCTGACTCCTTTTTTGGGGCATCGGCCCCCTCGTCGTGGACCTTTATTACATTTAGACCCAAAACTTATTACACTACCCCCCCCCCCGTCGGGAAAATCCTGGCGCCACCCCTGTTTCCTTCCCTGTTGTTGGGATCTCGGAGAACCGCAATGGATGCTTCAGATATTTAAATTGTTTCACACCAATGTTGTAAAGTTTATACATATAAATTTAATCTTTTAAAACAAAAAATGAAACATGTTACATTAACTACTGTAAAAAAACAACGAATATTTTATTATTAGCAAAAATCACCCTGTTCATAATAAAAATGGCATGACAACAATAATTGCAGGCTTACTTTAAATATTTTAAACTTTTGTTGTTTACAAAATTAGGGTCTAAGTAATACTTTAAATTACTGACACAGTTCTTTGACTCTTTCATACGATCTTCTCATTGTACGAGGAGCACTACCAACCTTCAAAATTCATTCATTATTGTAGAACACATGAATACGAAATTCTATAGGTAGGCCAAGTGTATACATGTATTTACCTCTGGAACATTGTCAGTCGTATACATTCTTCCAAAACCTTTCGCTAACACAGCGTACAGCAACGTTAGCAACGTTATTTAGTTCGAATTTAAAGCGTTTAAACACCAATCTCTAACGTTACAGTTTTTAACTGGTTAGCCTTTCAAATTTGGTCTGACGATTGCAGAATATCATTAAACAGCATTACTTAACTACAATAAACTGATGAAAAGATGAAAACAAAAACTTGTCTCAAATTATTATTTTTTGGAGGGGTTTTAGTTAATGTAACTGTATTGACAATAACACTACTCAACATCGCCCTCAATATGTTCAAACAGACAAACATTTAAATAACGGCAACATTGAAAGAATAGGCGGTGTCCTGCTATGGAAAAATTAAGGAAAGAATGGTTGAGATTCGCTGACTCCACTTGATGCATAGTCGTCCTCAAAGCAGTTAGGTTGGCTACCACTCCATTCTCCACATGAATGACACACTCGACGAGCGCTACCTGCACCTAGATAATAGTTACTATCGCAGAAAAAGGAGACATTGCTACCGTAGCTAAAGTCGTTACCAACACGGATTCCATTATCTATCGGGCCTGGATCAGAGCAGTCATGTGAAGTGCCTAAAATATAATAAGAAAGCAATATAGATCACAGCATATTTACAATTAGTGCTTGTTTGGTATTCATTTGTCTATTCGTCGTCAGTTTTCTGTATTTTGTATTGTGAGGAAGGAGAAGGTCGAAGGACTGGAAACTTTCAGAGGGAATACTAGAGCACGAACTCAATGCATTCGATGTTCTAAACACGCAGATAGAGCTACGTTTGTTTGTTACGATTATATTCATGGCTTACCTTGAAGTATGAACTTGACACCTTGGCAGAAAGTACCCTCAGAGCTTTCAATGATGTTGGAAAAGATGCCACTGCCGCCAAGATTAGCAGGGCAGGTCGAATACGACCCGGACCCGACTACAAACTCTTGGCTACCAGAACAAGTGGCTGTAAGCTCAACTTTCCCACCTTGTTTAAAGTTGAAACATGTCTGGCCATTCTCATCTGTCATTTTGGTTGCGGTATATGTAAAATCATTTCCTGAGAGACTGCAAGATATAAAGAGTAATTGACAGAAATACACTCTGATATAATTATCACTACCACTTCCACCATCATCGCTAATATTAGGCCTATATTATTATTATTATTATTATTGTTATTATTATTATTATTATTATTATTATTATTATTATTATTATTATTATTATTATTATTATTATTATTATTTTCATTATTATTATTATTATTATTATTATTATCATCATCATCATCATTATTATATTAATCATTATTATTATCATCATCATTATTATTACTATAAATAAATCATAATTAATTTAAAGGGCGTTGAAACAACTTATTTCATTTTTATTTATTTATTAATTCTGGAAGTTGTCACAAGTAAAAACTTTCAAGGATAAAAACACAGAAAAGTAGAAGAAGCAACTTATTTGAACTGTGACCCTTACGTGATCATTGTGCCACCTGCTGGGTTGTAACAATCTGGATCGTAGCAGGCGGTGACAGTGACGCAGTTCGAATTCTCTATCACTTGATCAGCGTTCCACCAAGTCAAGTGCGTCGCATTGTACGACCAAACTTTATCACCATAGCGATTTGTGGTAACGATACCATCACCATCTTTGTACCACACGCCTATACATTTGAAAAATGTATCGGTAATTAAAACAATATATATTTAATCTATCATAAAATCTATATGCCCGGACATGGCACTTTGGTTTTGAAAATGCTTTTAAAGAAATGTTTTACAACTAAATTCTTTTCAAAGGGGTCCAGGTTTACCATCTTTTGTTTTTAATGTTTCGTTTAATTTATTTCGTCCAACAAATACAAAACAAACAGAAATAACAATACCAAAAATCAGAGACAGGATAAACAAAAGCAAATGAAGTTGCCGTACACAATTTCTCCACAGATTTAAGGAAAAATACATAAAATAAATATAGCAATTCACTGTTCTCTGGAATTAAAAACAAGCAAAAATGGCCAAGGCCTATAAAAAAAGTTTATATTTGAAAATAAATCGCAGCAGAGCACAGCACAGCACGCATGAAACAACATATTGTTACTCTCATGGAGCCACTAAAAAAACACGTGGCTATTCTTAGAAATTCCATGAGAATATCATTTTTGGCGGTCGGAGGATTTGCAAAACAAGTTATAAAAAAGTAGAGTATAAGATCTAACTATTCAGAACCCATCTATATGGGATTAAAATGAATTAGACAGCAAATGCGTCTAATCAGTAATCCCTATGTGTAGATAAATAATGAAATCAGTTAAAAATACTAAGTGTCATGGTCGATGAAAATGATGATATATAAATAGGTATGAATTATATGACCAGCTAGTTATTCTAAAACACAAACTGCATTTAAAGATGATAATACTTTTTTGAAGTAAAAACATTTTTTAAAATAGGCTCCCATCAAGAGCGTCTGTCTACCTGTCTCTTATACACATCTAGATGTGTATAAGAGACAGCATTCTTCCAAAACCTTTCGCTATGGCGACTCCTATTATTGTAAAATGTTTGATTGACTATTTCGTTTGTTTAGTTTTTAGGATGGGTTGTATTAGAGTACTGCATGAGTTAATAATAGGGGTCAGTATTATCAAGCATACATACAGCTTAGGAAATTTATAACCCATCTACGCTTTCTGTGAGATTGTTGATTGTTTTTAGTTCATTCAGTGGCAGGTTTAGGCATAGTATCATATTTCTTGACTTACTTTCGAAAGACTGTTTCATTAGCTTATTAATGAATTAATGATGGTGTCCCATCATTCTTCAAACCGGATTTACCTTTACAGTACAGCTCACTGTACAAGAGAGATGAGTGTCTACTGCCCTCGCTAGTGGGCATGCGCATTAGACAAACAATAATAGTTACGTTTTGTGAATGAGTTTGTGAAGTTTTGAAATTTATTTTCTATTATGATTTTTAAAAACATTTCAATAGTAGTAGTACTACTTCAGTATCGTTTGATTACCAATGGTTCAATATGAGATTTGTAGTTTCTTTGGCCAGTTCAAGAATGGAGCAAGTTTGCTTTATATTAACTCATAATGTATTCATTTAATAATAAATAAATAGAATAACTATTGAGGAAGGACCGTTTCCTGCATTAATAGAACAAAATACAGTAGATAACGTTGTGTTACCGATCGTAAATGGTAAAAGGTCAAACTGATGGATTTTCATTATTTTAACTGCTCATGATAGAGAGGGTGCAAATTAACTCCGAAAGTATTGAATTTAAGGTACAAGTTGCTACTGAACTTCGATAGGAAAGTAGTATTTCGCCACTATATTCATGTCTGTATGCCAACTTCTTAAGCCGGGCACTCATTGCGCCGGACCAAAAGATCGCGACGACGCCGGGCCAAAAGATCGCTTTCAACGACGATCTGTTCAGACTACAACCGACAATCAGCAGACGACGACGTCGCGTCGCCTAGCGCTAACAGGGAGCAGAGTTGGATATGTCGGTCGACGGTCGCGCGACCGTCGTATGACGCAGTGAATGCCCGGCTTTAGATATTGCTGCTAGATTTCCCACAAAATTCTAAAGCAATATTTTAGGCCTAAAAGTTAAAAACGTTTTATATCGCGCAAAATTATACGGCGCCTATGCGCTTAAAATTTTTGTGCGTATTGCATGGATCCAATCTATTAGATAGCTTGTGTTGGTTGGTCAGTTGTTAAGGTTCTTTGCCATTGTTTCTTACCCTTTTCTGGATCATAGAAAAATGCACCAACGGTCTCTCCTTCTGCTGGTGAATTTTGAATTGCGTTTAACGGTAGTTCTATATTAATATGACCGAGTAAGGGGACGTCTTCACCACTTGATTTCACGACGACTGAAATTTCAGCCATACCAAAACTTTCCAACGGCAAACGCTCATAACCTAGAAAGTCAATGATTGATTGTATAAATTTAATTTACTATTTAATAAATTGTAAAACAACAACAATAACAATAAATATAATAATTTAAAATAATAAAATTATATTTATTGTTGCTACCATCATAGCTATTGAATATAATGTTATAATTTAATATTGATAACGTTAATTAGTCGCTTTTAGTAAACTGAATTTATGCTTTTTATATTGTGTATTGTTTTAATTATTGTACTGTTTTTTATATGAGATGCAAATAAATCAAATCAAATCAAATCAACTGCAGTTCCAAACCGTTAATCCGTAGGCCTACAAAGCTATCCATAGAAATATAATGCATACTTGAATTTTTGTAAAATAATATGGATACCTGTAAGATTGCTGGAATCAGATACAATACCAGTACCAATAAGAGCAGGGGCCTTGGCCAGGGATAATGAACTTCTGACATCAATACCTCGCACAGTTACCGACAACACTTCACCGTTAGGAACATTCAGAGAACCTGAAGCATTCAATTATTTGATTAGCTAGAAATTAATAATACAATATCTGCATAATTATAATAATAATAATAATAATAATAATAATAATAATAATAATAATAATCATAGTAATAATAATAATAATTGTTGCAAAGTGCCCCACTACAAATAAGCCTATATAATATTTTATACAATATAGGCTTAAA